TGGGGCACTGTCTTCAGAGCTGGTTGAGGGCAAACAGCTGCTGCTACACAGCTGCCCAGATCTGAAGGCAACGCATAAGTAAGGGTGGCAATACTGTGACCCCCTGCTAAAATAACCTTGTGACCTCCCCCCACAACTCCCTTTTGGGTTAGGATCCCCAATTTGAGAAACACTGGTCTCCCCTGTGAAATCTTTATACTTTAGGGTAAAAGCACACAAAAGACCAGATTTCATAGTCCGTGACGCGTTTTACCTGGCCATGAATTTGGTAGGGCCCTACTAATGGTGCTTCCATGGCCTTGATCAGGTTATTTGAAATTTGTATTTGCACTAATCTTCCTGAGATGGAAGTGTGAATGTACTGTAAGAAGAGTTTATCTAGTTTATAAGAAAATGCCACAGCATGTATCCTTGCATAACGTGCCCTAACATAAGTAATATGAGGGGAAACACATATATTTGTTTGGTTGACTTGATTAATCCTGTATCTGAGAAATTGGATCATATAGTCTTTTACTCCTTGTTTCTCAGTCAGACAGAAAGTAAAACGCAACGTTTTTGAGTTCCTAAATACTGCATTCTATTTAAATGTATCCCCATATAAAAAGGAATCACTGCACTTTTTTCCTTTCCCTCTCACTAGGGTGTTCTCTTGGAGCATCGAGAGAGAGAATTTGGAGACAAAGTGAGCCTTCAGTCTGTCCTTGAAGCTGCTGAGATGATAAAACCACAAGCTGCAGACACTGACTAATAGTTACACATGTTCAGTCTTGGCTCGAAAATGTAGAACATGTCTGTATGTGAACATGCAGTGTAATTGCTTTCTTAGACTATTCAGTAATAGCTCAGCTGGAGGATTCTCTCTGAAACTAGTCAACAAATGAACAACCTCTTTGATGGTAGCTGACTTGTTTGTGCTTTGTAGCCCCTCAGGCACCCACTGTTTCTACTAGTTTTTTGTCTCTTACCGCATTAATGAAAGGCTGGGCCCAAAATCTTAAGGCGTAACCTAGATGGGTCCAGTTAGAGCCAGAAAAATAAGAATATCTGGGTGCCTGGGGAGTAGGACATTGCTAAAGCAGGAGTAAGTGAGGTTGAAAGATAATAAAAATTATGTAAATGAAATGTCTTGGTTTTCAAATTTCTAATTTTATTAAAATAGTCAGAAGCCTCTGTGTTGATGGGAGATTAAAACTTGTCCAGACTTTCTCCTTGCACTGAGAAGCTTAGACACATGTCTGATTGCTACAGTTTTTACATATGGGGTCAATTCTGCTCCCTTTGATTTCAGTGGTAGTTCTGCCATTGGCTTTGTTTGAATGAAGATGGTGCCTTATATGCTTCATATTCTGATTTGTAAGGAAAATTAAAAGTCAGCATTGGACTTATTTAAAAGGTGGTGATAATGACCACAAGGTGGGACGTGCCCAGTAATAAGTGAAATAAGGATTCTAAATGCAGCAGAGAATAATAAGTACATATCAGGTAGCAAAAGTGAAACATGTCAACACAGTGACAGGGCTGCTGGCATGCTCTCCTGTAATATTGGGAGGTGGGCCTGCCATTACACATTCGGATCATGTGAGATACAGTACCAGGTACAGCCAAATACCTAGATCTAACTGTATGTTGTTAAAAGACCTGATATGGGGGAAGGAATTAATTGCCTTTGGGGAAATGAAGGGCTTGGGTTTTTCATGAGCACTCAAAATGGAAAATTTTAACAGGGAGGGCAATTAATAATTGGAACAGATTAGCAAGGGATATGGCAGATTATCCATCACTTGGAGTCTTTTGAATTAAGACTAGATTTCTCTCTAAAATAAATGCTGTATCCCAGCCACAAGTTATTGGGCTGATGCAAAAATTACTGAGTGCAGTTCTATGTTTTGGGTTTATGCAGAAGGTTGGCTAGATCAGTGGTTCTCAAACCTTTGTACTGGTGAGCTCTTTCACATAGCAAGCCTCTGAGTGTGAAAAGCCCCCCCACCTATAAATTAAAAACACTTTTTTATATATTTAACACAATTACAAATGCTGGAGGCAAAGTGGGGTTTGGGGTGGAGGCTGACAGCTCGCGACCCTCCAGGTATTAACCTCACAATCCCCTGAGGGGTCCCAACCCCCAGTTTGAGAACCCCTGGATTAGATAATCAATAAGTACCTTCATACCACTATAATGAAATCCATACTGGGAAGGTTGTACCATTTTAATATGTTGATATAGTTAAAAGGTTACATTTTGTGAGTGTAGATAAACTGTTATTGTGGGGTGCTGAGAAACTCCAGTGCTTTTTGTATCCCATCCTGCCAGAGCATGGGCCTATGTCCCTCTCTAGTGGCTATACTGTGTAAGAGGTTTTAAGTCTGGTGTTGACTCCAACATAATGGACCTTCATCTAGCTCTCTTGGCAGAGGGGTCATGCTTTTACATCCAGAGCTTGCAGGTTCAACCCTTGCATGACCCATCCAAGTCACGGTTATACTTTCATCCATTTCTTCTGCCATCCAGTGGGGTTAAGGAAACTGAGGCAAGAAGCCAGCTTTCATCCTATCCCACTTCAGGCTTAAAATGCTTAGTCATTGCATAAAAGGCATTATATGTATCCCTGTACCCTGTTCAGCCAGGCTGATCTATGACTATACCTCTCAAAAGGCCCTGTGCAATGCTTCAGCTGCTTTATCAAGGACTGGAGTCACCCCTAGGGACTGTCAGGCCCTCTGGCACTCAAGTCGGACACAGCACATAGACTATTCAGGTGATGCCTGCGGCCAGAGAAGGGAGAGAATGTTAGAATCAGAATGTCCCATGGCAGTTGGACACGAGCAGTTACGGGGCAGTGCTACCAACTCCGGTGATATGTGGTGTCTTGCTTGAAGCCTGAGGCTCTCGAGTCGTGGCTGTATCAGCATCTCAGTTTTCTTTCGGTCTTTTAAAATGTAAGTTTCCAGTTTCTCCTGGTTTCAGAGAAGACCGCAAAACCCTCGAGGTTCAAAAGGCAAACAAACTCCAAATGTAGAATTTAAAAAAAATCTTAAAATCCCATGATTTTTAAACCAATTGTGAGACTTCTGGGGGCCTGACCTGTCTTTTTTGAACATGCGGCAATAGTGAAGAGAGAGAGGACTGAAAAAAATCTAGTGAGAGCTCCAGGACTGCAAGAGAAACAGGGATTAGTTGGGAGGGAAAGTTAATAGGAAATTGGATAAATTGTGTGAAGCAGACAGTCTCTAGGAAATAACACAAGTGATCTTGAGAATGCGAAGGAAAAACAAAATCTACTTGGAATGATAACAGAGCACCTGGTGAATCTGCCTCACTGCAGTGTGTGGGCAGGGGAGGAGGAGTCTGAATAGCTGCTTTATCACAATATTCTTTACTTGAATGCAAAAATTCAATGTCTTTTTGCTCATTGTGATTAGCGGCTGTGTTGCTGGTTGCTGTGCAGCATCAGTGACCCCTTCTGCCTCAGCTTCTTACATTTCTTTCATTTGTTCTGCTCTCTTCTTTTTTTTTTTTTTAATAAATAGGTACACAAAATCTGAGTGACTCCTTTAAAGAGACATCCTCAACTTTTAAATCACTTTGGTCTGGAAATCGTTTACCTACTTTAGTTACAAGTAAAACGTATGGTAAAATGACTATAACTAGAAGAGATCAGAAAGCAAATCCTAGTTTTTCAGTTAGTTTACTCTGTGAAAGAAAGCAATTTGTGTAAGGTCTGTTTCACTGTAGCCTATTTCCCCTTGTCTGGGGATGGGTTGTTTGGGTTGGTTTTTTTTCTTTCTCCCCACACAAATATGAGAACATCCTTTTAAACAAGAGAATACTGTTGTGAAATCACCAAATTAGCCAGAAGACTTGGGGCCAGATGCTAGTAGCTGAAACTGTTTTTAACTCATTCGTTTAAAAATGTTGTAGATCTCAGGTTTACAGTGTCCCTTTAAGTCATCTATTAAACTATCTACATGACAGAGTCTTTTCTGTTGGTTTTCTATGCTGTTTTTTTTTCACTTTGTCAGTTATATATTCTTGTTGCTGTGAGACCACCTGCAGTTGGTGCCATTTACAAGCTTGTGTAAAAAGAAGAGAATTCCAACAAATCATCCCTGCATTTTTTCAGATTTATTTCCTACAAAACAAGAGAGCATTTTAAGGCAGACATACAAGGAAATCTACTCTGTATAGTTTCACCACTGGATGTCACTGCTTCTCCAGTCGCGAGGAAGGTTGGTGCTAAAGGTGTACTGCAAAGAATTTGCATAGTAAATAAATGTGCCAGAAATTGAATTCCATGGATTCTTACTGGGCTAGAAGAAACTTGTTAAAAAAGACCTAACAGGAGCTGCTGAAAGACAAATAATCTTGTGATCTTTTTACCGTTACGTCCATTTTACTTTCCTAATATAGGAGATTTGGGATGGGATTAATGAGGGGGAATGGTACAGTCTGGCCACTTTATAAATACACCATAGATATGCATTTATAAAAATGGGCTTGGGAGGAAATTACTAATTTAATAGAACTACAGAGAAGATGCTTGAGAAAACATTAGTGGGAATGACAGTGGTTCAGTCCATGTGCATTGAGGATAATAGACTCACAGTCATTCCCACACTAATGCTTTATCAAACTTCTTCTTGGAGAGCAAGAATGAATGTTCCTCAATCACTTCCTGTAGTACATTGCCTGTTACATCTGAGACTAAGTTAGTGGATGAGCCAGTACATGCACCACCCAATTGGAAATGCTAGAGGGAGATGGGGTGGGGGAAAATATGGAGAAATATGAAATAGCAGTTATAATGTTAGTTAGGTGAAATAAATGGTCCAGTCTAATCCTACTGGCTATTTGATTCAGCCAAACTACAGCTGTGGTCTCTGTGCCCCATGCCAGTAACTTCTCCTGGTCCCTCATTAATGTCAGGAAACGTTTTGTGATGGCCACAGGAAACGGTGTTGATGAGCTGTGTGTAAACATGACAGTTTGCATCTCCTACAGTCTTGTTTTCCACTTCAGCATCTTCATTCTGCTGAGAGAATTGAAGCCTTGGCCAAGCAAAGCTTTACAGACTTTACAAGTTTGCCTTTGCAGTTGCAATTACTGCAATAGAGGGGATACTATTTAAACTTTATAATGAGGCGATATTGTGAATATAGAGGGAACGTTGGTTGGTTAGCGGCAAAGGCAATTGAAACATTAAGAGTAACCACTGTGGTAGTCCCCACTCTTAAAGGTGAAAATATACCCCACTCTATTGTCCCCTGCATACAGTATAACAGCAACCCTTTCACAAGCCTGTCACAAAGGATGTGGAATCTCTGTTTAAAATGTTGATTGCTGGAATCTCCATGGCTAGAGGCTACCAAAGCCTCCTAGACTCCCTCTGTGCAACCCTCCCCCCCGCTTCCTTGTTGATCAGATCATTTCAAATGAAAGTCTGGGATGTTGGTGGCAGGGGAGATGAGTGGCCACAGGCAAAGGGCATGGACAGAGATTAGAGAAGTTGCTGACATACACCAGTACAGAGAGGAGTGGTGTGAGTGTGACAGTGCATTTCCCACCCAACTTTCTGCACTGTTAAAGAGGAAGAAGGCATCTTGGAGAGAAGAAGGCATCAACGGCCAGCACTGCATCCTGCAATGCTTTAGTCAGTGGTTCTCAACCTGCGGCCTGCTTGTGGCCCAATCAGCACAGAGCTGTGGCCCATGTGACATCCTCAGGGCCATACAGGTAGTACTGGATGTGGCCCACATATGCAGCCCACAATGGTAAATAGGTTGAGAACCACTGGATCTCTTCTCACTGCAGAACCACTCAACAGGACCACACCAAGACATAGACACCATAAGGCCTGTGCCTCAGGCTCCAGCTCAAGGGGGCATGGAATTACATCAGACTCTCACCTTTTTTTCTTTTTTTTAAATGTGAGGGGTGGGAACTGCCTCAGGTATCTCTGTGGTGTGTTTATTCTAAGAGCCATTGTGCTAGGGATCCCTGCTAATATCACCCAGCAGAGACTCTGTGGGTCAGGAGGGTCCAGCCTACCACTCACCCAGGAGAGCCAAGTTATTGGTGCTCCCTGAATAGCTGAGTGGTAACCGTCAGGGAGCAGCTGTTCCCGGTGACCAGCAGAGGCATCAATGTACAGGAGCTCAGCACAGCAATCGAATGATAGCCAGGGGCAGCCTGTGAAGGTGGTCTGAGCAATCTAATGATTGCCAGGTTCAGGGACTGGTAGGGAGAGGGAGCTGTTTTTCATAAACACAATCAGAAGACTGGGGAAATCTCCTTAAGTGGGGGTGTTCCCAGAAAACCAGATGATATGATTACTCTCACCTCTCTGAATATTATCACCAAGTGCAAGTGTTCAAAACCCATTAATTAGTCCATCCCCCCCAAGCAGGAGATTGATTTAAAAATCACAAGACATTTTTAAAAATGTGTTCTTGGATTCTTTTTCTTTGGTTGCTGAGCCTTTAGTGTGTCCTCAGTTAAATGTTTTCAAGCTTTTCTCCACTGTAGCATAGTGACAGTAGAACCTCTGAGTTACAAACACCTTGGGAGTAGGGTGACCAGACGTCCTGATTTTGAGTTTGTCCCGATATTTTGTGCCGCTTTTTTTTTTGCTCGGCCTGCCGGCAGCTTTTTTTTTGCCCCCTCCCCCCCCCCCCCAGTGTCCCAATATTTTCTTCATCTCATCTGGTCACCCTAATTGGGAGTGGAGGTTGTTCATAACTCTGAACCAAACGTTATGGGTGTTCTTTCAAAAATTTACAACTGATCATTGACTTAATACAGCTTTGAAAATATACTATGCAGAAGAAAAATGCTGTTTTTAACCATCTTAATTTAAATGGAACAAGCACAGAAACAGTATTCTTACCTTGTCAAATCTTTTTTATTTCCCTTTATTTTTTTAGTAGTTTACGTTTAACACAGCACTGTGCTTGCTTTTTTTTTTTTTTTTTTTTTGGGTCTTTGCTGTTGCCTGATTGTGAACTTTGCTTCCAAATGAGGAGTGTGATTGACAGGTCAGTTAGTAACTCTGGTGGTTCCTCATAACTTTGAGGTTCCACTGTACAATGGCACAGTTGAACATGACCCCCCCCAAGAAGGTTAGGGAATGGAATGACATTCTGGCACTTCACTTGGCAAAACCACTCACTCAAAGTTGGCCTTGCTGCCCATCCCCATCACTGCAGAGGAGGCAGCTGGGCCAAATGTGAGCGAGTGACATTGTAACTTGAAACATGGGGTTGTAGCGCCATTCAGGTTTGGCCCAGCCTCATGGTGCAGGGGAGGCTGGGCCAAACCAGGGTTGAGCTTTGACTCCACATGCAAGGTTGTGATGCCACTCATCACTCAAATTTGGCAGGTATTGTGACTGGGTGGGTCAGGTGATGGTAGCAGCTGCCCTTAGGCTGGGATGGGGCAGAACACTGAAGTAGGGATGAGTGACTAACAAATTTCCCATGGCAATGGGTTAGGGGCTAGGTGTTGGTGGCTGGGGGGAGGGAGTGGAGGATGTTGATGGGCTGTGGGGAAAATGGGGATATTTGGGGCAAGCAAAATTTTAGATTTCAGAATTGGGAAGGGGGCCCCTAATCTATTCTTGCACCAGGGCCCTCTGAGGCATGATTACACTATTGTTGTCACCTAGTCACAGGACTCCAGGGGGGTTGAAGGCAAACAGCAAATAGTGAAAGACTTGTGATTAAAATGAGGATTGTAGCAATGCTGTGTATGATACTTTAAAAACTGATTTAAAATCAATCTAAAACAAGGGATAGAGGGGGGCAGGTCTGGAACTAGGCTAATTATAACCTCTCAGGAAGGCTGTGTGCTTTAATTAATCTCCTGGAGTGTATGAAGTTCAGCTGAGCCACCGTCAGGCTGATGAGTGTTACAAGTATTATAAATAGTGGGTGTGGAGGGGGAGGAATCATATTAAACTGAATAAAAAATTAACTGGTGGGAGTGTCTAAAAATGCACGTGACTGGAATTACTGGGTGTTTCTCTTAGCTAAATTTAGGCGAGTATATGAACTTTCCCCCTGCAAACCATTAGAGAGATGGGTTAAAAAAAAAGGAGCTAGATTATGTCATAAGGAACTAGCTAATGTGCATGGAGAGGTCAGGGTAGAATTGTGTCCAGGAGGAGAGGCAAACGCTCCCTGGAAGTTCTCCTTTGTGTAAAATGACCCTGCCTGTGTGTGCGTCCTGTTGCGAAAGAGAGGCGTGGCCTGATAGACATGATTAGTACATTTCCTGTGCTGCCAAGAAGGAGTACAGCAGCTGCACACCACTGGAGAGCTTGGCAGGGAAATCCGCTCTGCAGAACCGGGTGTCATTATTTACTGAGCGCGGGGGAGTTTCTTTTCACGTGGGATCCGCTTTCATAGACTAACCAAGGCAGGAACCAACCGAGGAACGCCTGTGTTTTTGGCAGCCTCTTGCCTTTCACCCAAGTTGGTGAAACTTACTGAGCAGACTCCAGGGCTGCTCCTGGGTGAGTCTCGTTTCCTGTGCTGATCTCGGCTGTGCACCGATCCTCCTTGTGTGCTGCCGTCATTGTGTCACTCTATCTTAGGTGCTGTTGTTTCCCGGTCTTCGGCTCTTTACAATCGTTCTCATCAGCTAATTTCTCCCTGGGCTTCTTCTAAGAGCGATTCTCGTTCGTGGGCAGGGGCAGCCCCATTGTTAACGCTGCACCCAGCCTTCTGTTTGTAAGTATTTCCTCTCTCTCTCTTGGGGATTTAGACAATGAATGAGAATGTTCTCTCTCGTTAGTCTGCCGAGCCTGTCGGGACTCGGTCCTATTGGGTTCCGGGAAGTGGGCGGGCACTCACGCGGTTCATGTACATTAGCCCCAAGTTTTGTAATTGATCATGTTCGCCGGGGTGGGTTCGAAGAGCCTACGTGGGATTTATTTGCAGAGTGAGAGAGTGTGCGTGAGTCTGTCTTAGTTCCCATCTCCACGTAAATAGGAGAGAGAAAAGATCTGCTTAAAACTTCTAAAATGCTGAGCAGATCGAATCTTCCGGAGGCTCAAGAGAAAAGAAGCTCCAGAAGGCAACCTTGGGAGGCTTCTCTGGGAGTTAAAGTTGTAGCAGGGCTTGACTATGGTGGTTGAGATGCAGTTCGTTCCACATGGGAGAAAGTTTCCTGTAACCGTAGTGTTGCTATTTAAGAAACAGGTCTGCCTGCACTGTGCAGTGCCCTTTAAACCATCCACTTTGAATTCTACAAGTCACTCAATATTGATTTACTGGGCTGATGGGGATGTTCTCACAACAATTTCTTTTAGTGTCTCTCCCCTCTCCCTTCCACACACACAGTTTTCTCAAAGCTCATAACCATGCAATTAAAGGGCATTGGTATATTGTATTATCTAATGGTTTCAATTACAACCTTCCCTGATGAGTGAAGCTCTGATCTTGCAACAGACTCCTGAGCCTGTGATGGAGCTCCATGGAAATCACCAGGGCCTATTTTGGCTTCTGTTAACAGTATTTAAAATGTGACAGGGTTTCCTATATCGCCCAGCTGTAATGTTAGATCTCATATTGGTAACCAGGATCCAACTGAGCCAGTACTTGAATGAGGAAGATAAGGTGCTGCAGGAAGTGGTGGCATCAATACACAGGTGGCACTCTTCCCTCTGGTTCAATTACAAAATACTGCCAACATGGGTTTGGATGGGCTATCTTCCAGATGAATCAGAAAGTGGAGGTCCTGTCCACTTGAGGCCATTAAAAGGGCATCTTGCAGTAGTAGAATTAACATGTGCAGGTCCAATTGCAGTTTAATCAATTCCATTCTAACTAGCCCCTCCCCCTGCAGTTTCAACTGAATATGCTGTTACAGAGCACTGTTTAATAGTTGTTTTGTTCCACCCAGAGAGGTGGGTTGAGTAATACTCCTTCTTTAGGCCTTGCTTACATGGGAAAGGTTCTTTTGGTATAACCAAAGGGTGTAAATGTAAACCTCTGTAGTTATGTTGTTATAACCTCTCTCCCCCCATTATAGTATGAGTGCCCCTCCCCCCCCTTTTTTTAAAAGCCTTCATTAAGGAAGGGGTTTAAGCTAAGCTCAGTAAAGTAACTCATACCACAAGTGCCCACACAGGAGCTATTCTAGTGTAACTACAGAATTGGTGTAACTGGTAAAACTTTCCTATGTAGACAAGGTACTAGAACTTTACTATCTTCAAAGTGCTGTGTGAACATTAAGGCCTCAATTCAACACATGCCTAACCTAAGATTAAAGTTAGGCACATATTTAAGCACCTTGTTGATTAAATTGATTCCATTTGGAATTCTTCATGATGCTTATTTATTATTTGTATTACTATAGCACAGGGGTGGGCAAACTATGGTCCAGGGGCCGTATCCGGCCCTTCAGACATTTTAATCTGGCTCTCGAGATCCTGCCAGGGAGCAGGGTGCGGGGCTTTGCCTGATCCGGTGCCCCAGCCAGGGAGAGGGGTTGGGAGCTTGCCCCGCTCCACACGTGTGGTGGCTCCTGGAAGCAGCAGCATGTCCGTCTTCCGGCTCTTACGTGTAGGGGCAGCCAGGGGGCTCGGCATGCTGCCCCCACCCCAAGCGCTGCTCCCATTGGTCGGGAACCATGGCCAATGGGAGCTGCACGGATGGCTCCTGTGGACAGGGCAGCGCGCAGAGCCGCCTGGCCACACCTCCATGTAGGAGGCGGGGCCATGCTGCTGCTTGAAGTAAGCACCACCCCCAGCTGGCGCCCTCCACCCCCCCCCCAACCCGAAACCTGTTTCGTGAGCATTCATGCCCCCCCCCCCCATACTATTTCCATACTCGGCTGTGGTCCTCAGGTTAAAAAGTTTGCCCACCCCTGCTATAGCACCTAGGAGCCTCAGTCATGAACCAGGACCCCACTGTGCTAGGTGTTGTACAGAAACAACAAAAAGGGCTGTCCCTGTTGCAAAGAAGAAAAAATACTGTAAATAAGAGCTTACACTCCGATGGCGGGGGTGGGTAGGAGGGAGGGGATGGACAATCAGGCCTTAGTCTCTCATGGGAGGGGGAAAAATGATTCAGCACTGTAACATCTAGGCACTCTGCAACTCTTGTTTAAGTGATTAAAACTGGCAGTGTCTTAAAGCGATGAGTATCTAAGAAAAATGATGAAAGCAAAGAGTGTTTCTTGGAGATACAAAAGTCACTCTTAGCCTCCGGCTGCATCTCTAGATAAATGCCTATCAGCACCAACCACTTGTGAGTCCCCAGGCCAGGTCCAGTGTTGATAGCGTTATAGTTACTAGTTCTAAGTAGCTAAGCGTACATGGCTAGCTTCAAGTGCTTGTGCATGGATGAGTGTGTGATACTGGAGTTCTGTGTGGGGGAATTGTGGGAAAGCATGGGCTAGGAATTGTAATTCATTCTGGGCCTCCTAATTGGGATAAAATCTGGCTGGGCTTGTGGGGGAGGAAGAGTGCTGCTGTTTTGTATTTTAACTGCTCTCTGTTGTCTTTAAAAACGCATATCAAGGGCCCTCTCTGCCTCGGATTAGCGTTTTGTGATGTGGGGTTATTAACTCTGAAGAGAGTCTGTGGGGCATGGTTTGGCACTCTAGTAATGGTATTAAAAGAAGGCTGGTTATATTAATCTTGAGCAAACTATGCTGAAAACAACAGCAATGCTTTCCTAAGAAAATAGGAACACAACTTGTTTTTATTGAAACAGCTTTTTTTTTAAAATAAAATAACAGAACGGGTGTTTTAAAAATCTGGAAACAAATGTTTATAGCACCATTGTTGTGGTGGGTCAGTGAGTAGTTTGAAGTACTTTGTAAGTTTTCATTTTTTTAAAAATAAGCCTGGCAACTTCCTGGGGGGTAGACATTGTATTATCTCTCCTTACAGAGGAGAAGGTGGTGGAAGCTCCTGGTGCCTGAGTGCCATGCTCAAGATCCTACAGCCAGTCGGTGGTGGTGGTGGTGATGTGAATAGAATCCAGGGGCCTGATTCTTGGTTACTCCCTGCTAGGGTTGCCAATCTGCTGGAGTCTCCAGGATTTAAGATAATCTCTAAAGATCATGTGATGTAATGAAATCTCCAGGAATACATCCAACCAAAATTAGCAACCCTATTCCCTACCTTTGTTTGAGGCAGGAATGAGTGGGGCAAAGCCACCTTTGAGCTCTTCATACTCTGGGGCTATGCAGTTGTCTGCCAGGCCCCTAATGAAAGTCAGAGCAAACTTGAGACTGCTCTGATTTGTGCTCTGCTTCCCATGGCCCCTGAAAAACCCAGAATAACTCCCCAATCTGCCCTAAACTGGGGGATGTGAACAAGGCCAATGTATAGCCCATAAATCAGTACTGTCAAAGGGTCCATTTGTGTAGGAGGTGACCACCCTCAGGCATCTTTCTGCAGCCAGAGAAGCATAATACTAGACTAGATGTCAATTTAGAGCACCTTCTCTGGGGCTGAAGATTACAATTTGCTGTGTTTTAATGTAAGTCTATGGGTACTTGTGCTATTTAACTTCCTGCATCCCACTTGCAATGGATGAGCAGTTTGGGAGCTACTCTTTTTAAGCAGTACTCAGTATGTTGTGATATTGATGTGCCCTTCCTTTAAGGGTGGTTAAATGTGGTCCATGGAGCCTTGAAATGTGAACAGTAGCCATCCTTTCCCAGCAACCGCAGGGTAAAGATGACAAAGATTTTATTGCTTGGAGCCTTGACCACAGCAAACCTTCCCTATTCATCTATCAAGTTTTGCCTGAGCAGCCTCAGGTGTTGCAAAGTTTGAGCACTGTTAATTAGAACAGGTTGAGTTTGTGTCTGGTTCTGTATTGTCTTTTTTCTCTTCAATGTGAACTCTGCAGGGTTTGAATGTTGATCTCTGTTACAGTTCAGTAACAAAGCAGAGGATCTTCTGCCACCAAACTGCAGTTGACTGGGGGCAGATCAAAATGTGTGGTTTGTATAAATCTGAAACTGAGCTTTTTTTGTTCAAAGTTTGCATTACAGAGCCAAGAGTGTGCCTACCCACTAGCTTATTTTCATGCCATGCTTCTGTGCACGATAGGCTTTCTGGGCCAATACTTCTCAAAATAAGGAGACTATGGTACTGTGCTTTCTGCTGGTATAAATGATGTGTTTTTAAGAGTACTTAACAGTGTATAATTCATGGATGCTGTGTTTACCTCTTTGGGACAAGTTGTTTCTGCGGAACCACCTTGTTTTAAAAGAACAAAACCAAGCTTGGTTTCCACTTTAGAGTGAGTTGTATATATTCTTTATCTATTGCTTCAGTTTTTATTATGAGGGGACACCTATTGGCCCTCTCACCTTCCAATCAGAACAAACAGAAATATGCATGTGTGTTTTGCTGTCTCAGCCAATAAAGGTAGAACAAGAGACCTCCCTTGGAAAGCATCTGCCTCCTTCAGTGCAGGCTCGATATTCTTCCACATCCTTGTTTGCTATTGCCACTTCCAAAACAGGACTGTTGGCAGATACAGACAGCCTACTAGGGACCATTCCAGGTTTCGTAAACCTACCTGGGTACACTGAGTAGTGCTGGATTTCAACAACTGGGGATAGCTGTGCTGTATGGGCAGGAGGCCAAGGGATGACTGCTCCTCTCCTGCTTTGTATCAGCTGCTCCTGCTGAGGATGAGTCAAAGGAAGGGAGTGTAGCAGCATGTGAGCTCTTCAGGTCACGTGATCTGCACAAAGTGAG